AGGGTCCCGTCTGGCCAGCCGGCGTTTCCCCCCCCCCGGCCCGCACGTCCCCCCGACGGCAGCCAGCCGGTCAGCAGCAGCAGCCCGGCTCCCCCGGGACGGCCCGCCCGCCCCACCGCGCCTGGCCTCACCTGGCCCGGCCGCGGCTCCCGCGCCCGGGAGGAGCTCAGCTGTCTGGGCTGCAGCAGGCGAGAAGGGAAGGTGCGCCGCGCCCCCGAGCTCAGCGAGCGCCCTGCCGCATCCTCCGCCGCGCAGGGGGCCACCGCCGGCTCTCCCTCGCCCCCTCCGCCTGCTGCTGCGCCGTGGCCGTGGCCGAGTGGAGCGCCGACGCCGCCTGCCTGCCTGCCTGCCTGCCTGCTGCCTCCTGCGCTCCGGAGCCAGGCCCGCCCCGCCTGCCTGCCTGCCTGCCTTGCAGCGCCCCGCCCCGCCCGTCGGCGGCCCTGCGGCAGAGGGCGCCCGAGAGCCACCCGGCCCGGCCTCCCTGCGCCCGGATGGGATCGCCGCGAAGCCCCTGCAGCCAGAGCCCCGTCCCCTTCTCCGCAGGGGCCCTCCGCTCGGGGATCCCGGGAGAACTCCGGGGCTCACCTGGAGGTCAGCGACCCCCTCCCTCCGAAAAAGGGGCCGGGAAGATGCCAGACCCCCGCCTCCCGAAGGCGCCCGGGCAGGCTCCGAGGGGGTGGCCTTGCAAGCCCCGGACGGAGAAGGATGGCCTCCCCCCCACCCCCTTCCCATCGGGAATAAAGCCAAGCCAAGCCAAGCGAGGGTGGTGGTGGGCACAGCGGCTCCGGCCACCACCTCCTCTGTGCGCTGGCCCGGCTGAGGCGGGAACCTGTGTCGTCAAAGCGACGCCCCACGGAGGCCAGGAGGCAAAAGGGGGAGCAAGAACTGGGAAAAAATCCCCACCCCCAGAAGAACTGGAAGGGAAACCCGATTGGAGGAGGGAGACATCAAACCACACGGGGGCTTAACCTGTACGCAGGCATTCTCAGGTGTGCAGGCACACGGAAGCCCAGACCTCCAATAAAACCCTGTTGGTTTCAAAGGTGCCCCTGTCAGGACTTAAACTTTGCTATACAGATATTTTAAAATTCTCATTAAAGATGGGAACTGGGGAAATTTGTTAACAGCGACACCCCAGTAAGAACTGCTGGAATGTCCAAAGTGGCTTAAAGTAGGAGCCAGAACAAATATGACACACATGCTTTTATTGGAAAATATGAAAATTTCTTTATTAACATTAAATGAGACTGCCAAAAATAAAAACAAAAGGGGTAAAACAGATATTGATAATATTTATTTGTCCAGTTATATTTGTTTCGTGATGATATTTATCTAAGAGAGAGAAAGAGAGAGGTGGAAAGAAAGAATAAAAGAGGTGGAAAGAAAGGAAGCGTGTGAGCGCGAGAAACAAAGAGCAAATGGATGGGAGGAGAGAAAAAAGGTGGAAACAAAGGAAATAGATGGGGAGGAAGGGGGAGGAAGAAAGGGAGAGAGAGAGAGAAGGAAAGAAAAAGAGACAGAAACAATGAAAGCAAATGGGGAGGGAGGGAGGGGGAGGAAGGACAGAAGGAAAGAAGGGAGAAAGAAAAACATGGAAAATTAAAGAGGTGGAAAGAAAGGAGAGAGACAGAAAGAGCAACAGAAACAAAGAAAGCAAATAGATGAGGGAGGGGAAAGAGGGAAGGGAGAGAGAAAAAAAGAAAGTAAGGAAGAGAGAAAGAGAAAGGTGAAAAGAAGTGGGAAGAAAGCAAATAGATGGGGGGAGGGAGGGAGAGGTGGAATGAAAGCAACTTGAACTTTAAATGTGTTCTCCCCATGCCCCCATGCCAGCCAGCTTGGCTTGGAGAAAGAAGAAGAGGAGAAGAGGAGATTGGATTTATACCCCACCCTTCACTTGGAGTCTCAGAGGGGCTTACAAACTCCTTTCCCTTCCCCTCCCCCACAACAGACACTTCTCAAGAGAGCTCTGAGAGAACTGTCCTTGAGGGAACAGCTCTGACAGAACTGTGGGTTGCCCAAGGTCACACCAGCAGCTGCATGTGGAGGAGGGGGATCAAACCCGGTTCTCCCAGATTAGAGTCTGCACACTTAACCACTACACCAGACTGGAATTAAAGAAACAGAAGCCTTCTCCAAGCCAGCATGGGGGGGGGGGCTTTGATAATGCATTTAAAGTTGCTTTTCTTCTCTGCTCCCCCCCCCAGGGAGGGGAACACTGGCTGGGGAAGGGAAGACCAATTGGGGAGGTGTGCCTCCCCACCCGCTTCCCCATCTGCCCTGCTGGGAGCCGCCCAATGTGTGTGGAAGAGCCGCATGTGGCTCCGGAGGCACAGTTTGGCCACCCCTGAAAGAGCCCAACCCATTTCCTTCGCCCTCGTGGGCAGGGCCCGGTTTTCCAACCTGCGGAGGAGACCGTAAACAGCAAAATCCCACAGGACACCGGGATTGCTCTACAGGAATACTCTAGGAAGGAGTCAAAATCCAGAAGTCTTACCAAGAACGTGGCCACAGCTGCGAGTCTATCACAGCACAACACTGGAAAGAGGACGAATGACCCTGCAAAGATACCTAAAAGGGGGGGGGGGGGGGGGGGAGAGCACAGCACGAAAGCAGGCGTGAGAAGGAAACCAAACTGCTCAGGAGGAGCATCTCGTCACACAACTAGCAAAAGAGAGTCTGCACGGTGAATAGCTACAGGCAAGTAAAAGGATGTAAAGGTGGTCACCGAAAACCTGTAGAGATCATCCATCTGTTACTATGATTCTTGGCACATACAAATTGCTTTGACATTTCTGCACAATCAGACACTCTTTTGGTACACAAAGGGGTCCAGGTGGCAGCCCCCGAAATCCTGCTGACAGTCAATGTGTTGACAGAGTCAAGACGATCCGTGCGTGGGCCAGATTGTGCTCCAGAGCTACATGGCAACTGGCACCCCAACCAGAGCGACAGCAAAAAAGCTTCACAACTAATCACAACCACAGAGCCAGTGCGCAGAGGACTCTAATCTGGGAGAACCGGGTTTTACTCCCCACTCCTCCACTGGCACCTGCTGGATGACCTTGGGCAAGCCGTAGTTCTGACAAGAGCTGTCCTTGAAAAAGAGCACTTTCTGTCAGAGCTCTCTCAGCCCCACCCACCTCACAGGATGTCTGTTGTGGGGAGGGGAAGGGAAAGGAGAGGAGATTGTCAGCCGCTCTGAGACTCCCTTGGGTAGTGAAGGGCAGCAGGGTATAAATCCAACCTCCTCCTCCTTCTTCCCAATTGTGCCATCTTTCCCTGAAGGGCCTGCCTCACGGGAGAACTCGCTGTAGGCAAGCCTATGCCACGGAGTGACTGGCATATAGCGAGCTGTTTGGCCAATGCGTGTGCACAAACGAGGCTTTCTATCTCTGGCCATCTGTCAGCTTTAAACTGAACTCGAGAGTTGACATGCCTGCCAGTGAAAGATAAAGGCAGGCAACAAGAGGTCAGACACTTCTTGGAAACTTTTAGAAAGTGCACTCGGAAGCTGTCTCTTTCTCCATCTCTTGGTCATGCGCTCACGTAAAACTCAGCATTAAGATTACGATCGGGGCCCCATGAGGAACGGCAAAACCCCGTGCTAAAGGAAATCCAAGCGCCGCGGTAAAGAAGAAAGCCTGACGAACTGCACTCTCGTCACACGCAACAGGCCGGTTCTACACACCGAAGCCGGGAACTGCCTCTGGCCAGAAGCCGCTTGGGCCCCACCCCCAAAGCCACAACCCCCCTCCCTCCCTCCCTCCCAATTCTTTCCCCTCCCGATCGCTACAGGCACATTTTGGAAGTCCACCAAAGGCTGAGCCTGGGCAGTCAGTCACCAGGAGCAGCGCAGACCATTCACAGCCCACGGAAGGTCACAACGGCCGGGGGGAAACGGGGGTGACGTTTTAGTCACCCACGATTGGAGGCAACATCAGAACTCTTCCCGATTGGAAAACAGCTGCATTTGAGAGGTCAAAGCCAAAGTGACATTTACACGCAGACACATATCCGAGTCTGCCTATTTGGACACGACCAAAGAGCATGTAGGCAGCTCTCCGACCTCGCACATGGGGAAAATCTGGCCACATCAGGACAGCCACCCAGGCAGAAGGGAGCCACACACACACACCCACACACACACCCCGCCCAGCCACGGCCAAACCAGGCTCCCGGGAAGGGCTGCTGGGGCTGGTTCAGAGGGCCGTTGTGCCCCAGGAGAAATCCTGCCTCGAGAGGAGAGGAAGAGGAGAGGAGAGGTCTCAGCAGCAGCAGCAGCGGGGCCGTTTCCCTTCTGGTTCACAGGCCGTCCAAGTGCAGGGCCAAGAAGGCCAGATTCACGCCCGTGCAGACGACACAGGCCAGATTGCAGAGGGAGGAGAGGCCGTGGAAGGTGAAGAACTTCTGGCGCAGGGCCCGGTACTTGGCGTCCTTCTCCTTCAGGCGCTGGTAGTCCTCCCGGCGGGCCGAGAGCCCCACCTCGTCCCCGAGCCCGTGCTCCCTCTCGACCTCCTGCATCTTGAACATGGTCTTGGTGGTGGTCCGGGAGAACCAGGAGGCATTGGTCGCGGCCAGGACGACGCCGATGAAGAACAGCGCGATCTGCGGAGGAGAGAGACAGGACAGGCCTCAGCCTCTGAGACGGGAGGGCAAGTGAAGCTGCCTTACACTGAATCAGACCCCCTGCGGTCCATCCTGGTCGGTCTGGTCTACTCTCTCCAGGGTCTCCGGCTGTCAGCGAGGCCTCTAGCTGCCATGGAGTGTGGGGGGGGAGGGCTGGAATTTTAGGTTTCTTTTCTGTGTGCCTTCAGTGTTTCTTTATCTCTGTAACATGAGTGTTTGGCCTTGGTGTTTAGCACCAGCTTTCTCCTGGGAAACTGGACCCGTTAGCTTGGGCGGGCTTCTACCTGTCCCGTGATTGGCTCCAGGCCATCAGGGGACACCCCCCCCCTTGAATTGTGTGTATCGGCTTGCTTCACGCACTTATTGCCATTTCTAACACGAGATGTGTAAAGACAATCTGCATACTTCAATGTTCCAATAAACTTTACTTCTTTGCAAGACAGCTGTTGGGAACCGATTGCTGCAGGAGTCCGACACCGGCAGGGCGTGGTCTTTCCCATCACCTCCTACCCGAACCTTTGGAGATGCTGCCAGGGGGGACTGAACCTGGGACCTTCTGCATGCCAAGCAGAGGCTCTGCCAGTGAACCACACGGCCCCTCCCCTAACAGGGGCAATATAGAAAAAAGTATCGCCTACGGATATTGCTTTGAATTGAGAGGATGTTGCAAGCATTTAGCATCATCCAGTCTGAAGGCAGCTCAAACAGACTACTTTCCGATCCTTCAGAAAGACCTGGGGTTTTTTCCAGGGCAGAGACGGGACAGCCGTTGCCAGTCCTGACCGGCTCCTAGCGTGCCCCTGACATTAAGCCCAAGGGGAATGAATGGGGTCAGTGAAGTGTTAATTGACTCGAGGGGCTCGCACTTTTCTAGCTCTGCAACAAGAAGGCCTAGAAACTTATCCCCCCCCATAAAGCAATTCAGGGGGCAGGGCATTCTTCTGTGGGGCCTCTCCCTCTATGGGCCCCGAAGGGCTTGACGATCTGCCAGTCAACATCTTATCATGGTCCCTGGTAGGGGTGTGCAAAAAAAAAATTTCGGCCCGATTCGGATTCGGCCAAATCGGGCAGAATCAATTTTGGCCAGCATAAAGACTCCTGCATGTCCATTTCGGCAGTACCAGCCGATTCTGGAGTCTTTCGCCCAGCCCAATGTCAGTTTCAGCCACATTATATCCTAAGGGCCATTCAAATCAATGGCAAAAACATAGAGTATATTCTGGGGGCTGGAGGGGAGGGGGTTTGAGGGAGAGGCTCCAAACCCGTAGGTTAGCTGATGGAGCCCCTCCCCAAGTTACCCACCGAGTTTCAAGAACATTGGACCAGGGGGTCCAATTGTACAGGCCCACAAATAGGTTGTCCCATCCCCTCCATTGTTCCCTATGGTGGGGGGAAAAGTTAAAGGGGGCAACCAGTTTGGGGGCCCATAGAATTGGACCCCCTGGTCCAATGTTCTTCAAACGTGGTTAGTATCTTGGGGAGAGGCTCAAGCAGCTACCCTGCAGGTTTGGAGCCTCTCCCTCAAACCCCCTCCCCTCCAGCCCCCAGAATATACGGTATGTTTTCGCCATTGACTTCAATGGCCCATAGGATATAATGGGGCCGAATTGCCACCGAAATTCGGTGACAAGCCGATTCAGATCAGAGAATCTGAATCGGCCTGCAGCAGCCCAAAAGGGATCCAAATGGGCCATTTTCGGGGGTGCATTCGGTTCAGACGAACCGAATGCACATCCCTAGACTCCCTGGCCTCAGGGATGTCCTTCTCACCTCGACTAGGGCCAGAGCTTTTCCGCCCTGGCCCCTACACCTGGTGGAATGGACAATTCCACAGGGCCTGCAAGACGGAGCTCTTCCGCCAGGCTTTTAACTAGGGTGACGTCCCTCGGCCTCTACTAGGCCTCCCCTCAACGGGTCAGAACTGCATACCAGAGATGACATCTGTGAGGTTTTAATGTCAATGACAACGGCACTGGATGAAGGCCACTGTGGTATTTTATTAGTGTTTTAACTGTATTAATTGTGTATATTGTATTTTTGTCAAATTTGATGTAACCCACTCTGAGCCTGCCATGCAGGGAGGGTGGGATGTAAGTTGACTAAAATAAATAAATATGCCCCTATCGCTCCAGGGCTGGCCCCGAGTTAAGTCCACAGATAAACTCCAGAGCGATTATAAAGGAATAAAGTTTTATACAAACCAAATAAAGTTTTGTAACATTTGAGAGCCTTTTCTTGCCTAATGACTTACGGAGCCAGCTCTTTCCATTTAGATCCCCCCCCTCCCCCAAAGAAAGATATTTAGGAAACTTCCCTTTCTGGGCACCTTTGAGATCTATCACTACCCTCCAAGGACAGACAGGAGTCGGTGGGTGAGGAGGGCCTTTAGGTGATGGCGAAAACATGCCTCCCACTCGCTCCATCCCACTGAGGAAGCTGCAGCCAGTCCGATTGGATGCGGGCCTGGTGCCCACCCTTGGTACCCACACAGTGGTGGCATTTTGCAGCTGCCAGGCTCTCTATATGGGGCCACCCTTTCTTGCTCTGAAGGCACAACGCGGAAGAGCCTGTCAAACGCAACCGGAGATGCCGGTTTTGACCTGTGTGGCTTCAAGCAGTTCTGAAAACCTTAATACACTCTGGGGAGAAGTGCCCCCCCCCCAACCCATCCATCAGAGTCCGCCAGTGACCTCTCTCAGGACCCCGACAGCCAGCATGGGGTAGGGGTCAGAGTTTCGGACTGAGGTGTGGGAAACTTGGGTTCGAATAATCCCCACTCTGGCGAGGAAGCTGGCTGGGATCCCCCTTGTGCCGGTCACACTCTCTCAGCCTGGCCTACCCCACCGGGTGGTTGTGGAGACAAAGTGGAGGAGAGGAGAGAACGGTCAGCCGCTCTGGGTCCCCACCAGGGAGAAAGGCGGGGTAGAAATGAAGGAAAGAAAACTACTGTCCGGAAACGGTCCCAGCACAAAGGGAGCTGAGGGGCCAGCGTCTCTCCTCAACTCAGGTCTGGCGGGGAGGGGGCGGGTGGAGCTGCAGGACTGAAGGCTAAGAGGTGAATCCGGGGGGGACTCCACGTGCATTCAAAGGAGAGAGACCATTCAAAAGCTACCTCTGCAGCCCTGGGACAGGGTGGGTTCCTAGCGAGAAGGTTCAAGGGGGTGGGGTTAAATTGGAGGCCTCCCAACACACAAAGGAACAACGGAGCAACTGAGTTCTTGCCCAAAGGAACAGGCAAGGAGCTTACCCTTACAGTTCAAGAAGGGGGCTGACCTCATTCTCGAATCTCTGATACAGGAGAGACAATCTGTGACAAGATTATCAGAACCCCCCCGAAATGCTGAAGATGCCGAACCTAAAAATCCAGTCCGGGTTGGGGTGGCCCCCAAAATGAACCAAGCCAAAAGGTTTTCCTTTGGCCCGGGGAAGGGTTAAATGGATGGCAGCCATTTAGAAGAAGAAGAGATTGGATTTCTACCCCCGCCCTTCACTCAGAGTCTCGGAGCAGCTTACAAATTCTTTTCCCTTCCTCTCCCCACAACAGACACCCTGTGAGGTAGGCGGGGCTGAGAGCAATGCTCCCTCTAAGCTGTGGAGTCTTGTGAGCAAAAATTCTACTTTGTGGGCCACTGGCATTAAAGATGTGAGTGAGCGATTTGGCCGCTGCATGAATTAGTTTGCTCTGGAGCCATCCTTCCAGAGCTTAGGCAAAAATGAGTGAGCCAAAGGCTAAAAAACTGTGAGCTAGCTCACACTAACTCAGCTTAGAGGGAACACTGGCTGAGAGAGCTCTTTCGAGGACTGTCCTTGAGAGAACAGCTCCGACAGAACTACGGCTTGCCCATGGTCATCCAGCAGCTGCGAGTGGAGGCGTGGCGAATCAAACCCGGTTCTCCCAGATTAGAGTCCGCGCACTTAACCACCACACCAAAAATGTAACCCACCCATTTCGCTCCCCCCCCCCGCTTCCAAGTGGAGGGAAGCGAAACGGACCCGTGAAATGGCTGGGGCCATTTCAGCCTAACAGAGTGATGGGCAGACCTCCCCCCACCACCCTCGTGGTGCTCGGCTATCAGGGTGAAATGGCCCCAAACAGGCAAAGTGGACCACAGTCCGGTAAATGTTCAGGAAATTTTGGCTCGTGCGCCAGTTCCTGCCCATCCCTACTGCCGCTGTCAACAAGCCTCTCCGGCCCACGTTCTGGTCCCATCAACGGTTGCAAAATGTCCAGAGGACGGACGAGTACCTGGATGGTTTCCCCGGTGCTGAGCAGCTCCCGTGGATGGTAGGCAGCAAAGATGGCCAGATTCAGAAAACTGCAGCCGAGCAAGGTGTAGAAGTAGAAGGGGAAGAGCTTGCTCTGCACCAGGCCAAAGGTGTGCCTGCTCACCCCCCGGAAGAGAACAAACCCTGTGCGGGAAAGAGAAGAGGCGGCGTTACAGAGGCCGGCGGCTAAGTCTTGCTCCAGGCTCTAGGAGATGAAGAAGAGGAGGAGGTTGGATGTATCCCCCATGGCCCTTCACTACCCAGAGGAGTCTCAGAGCGGCTGACAAACTCCTCTCCCTTCCCCTCCCCACAACAAACACCCTGGCTGTGAGGTAGGCGGTGGGGCTGAGAGAGCTCTGACAGAAACGGCTCTTTTTCCAGGACAGCTCTTGTTAGAACTACGGCTTGCTGAAGGCCATCCAGCCAGGAGCAAATGGAGGAGGAGTGGGGGATCAAACCCGGTCCTCCCAGATTACAGTCCGCCACTCTTAACCACGACACCAAGACTGGGGGGAGCTGGCTGTTCAGAGGCAGCATTCTCGGGCTGGGTTCCAGGCAAAGCTCTGGGAGATGGGGGACTCAGGACCCCCGGGGATGGGGACAAGCAGGTTAGAGGAAGGGGTCTGGGAAGGGCTCAGAGAGCACCTCTGCCCCCCCTCCTGTGGTCCTCTGAGTGCAACGTGGGAGCGAGCGGGCTGAAAGCGCAAGGACACCTGCGATGAAGGTCACCCACAACTGCATCCCCCAGGCTGTGGACAGGAGGAAAAAATGGGCCGTTTTGATGAGGTCTCCGGGCTCCCCTTCGGTTGCCATCATTCTCCGTAGCACGGGACCTAAAACCGAGGAGAGAGAAACCAAGAATGAGGGTGGGGGCCAGGCACCATCTGGAAGCCCCTCCCCACCCGCCCCTGGCCACAGGTCCCTGTCCATTCCCAGCACCACCTTCATTCAGTGCCATGCGATATCTGGGCACAGAGGGTGAAGCCAAGGTGGGCTGGGAAAGGCAGAGAGGGCGCCTGGCAATGCCCCCTCTGAGCTGTGGAGTCCTGTGAGCAAAAATCCTCCTTTGTGAGCTCTCCTGGGCATTAAAGACTTGGCTGCTGCTGCATCAGTTAGTGTGCTCTGGAGCCCCCTCCTTCCTGAGCTCAGGCAAAAATGGGTGAGCCGGAGGAGGCTAAGGAACTGTGAGCTGGCTCACACTCACCCAGCTGAGAGGGAACCCTGGTGCCCACCCTCCCTGGCTGCCTCTGCTGCAGCAGAAGCCCCACAGGAGTGAGTGAGAGGCTGGCAGCGACCACCCCAGTCCAGCCGGGACCGCAGATCTTTCTGGGCGGAGACCCAGGAGGGCCCCCCACCCCACCCCTCAGAAGGAGAGCCAGCCGTCCCAGACAAGCAACGTCGAGAGGGGGGTTTCCGGCAGGACTCCCAGGAAGTCCACAGCCACTTCCAGGGGGGGGGGGG